AGTATTAAGAAATATCATCTATATTGGCGAGACTACTGCACATTGGGGGCCCTGCTTCTATATTCTTAACTGCAGAAAGCTCATTGTTGACTTCAACTTTGAAATTAGGCTTTTTAAGACAATCGATAATTAATCTTGTGTAGGATAGGATGAGCAAATTTGTCATGTATTTGATGATTTATTCAGAATACCAAACACACTCGACTGCCCTCTGTAATATTGGACCAACTCTCTAAAATGCAGTTCTCTAAAATCGAATTGCGAATGACTGAAGAGCATAACGTCATCGGTTATATAGCAAAAAATCATAAGTGGAATTCGCATTTTGCAAGTCGTTTAGTAGCGCCCTCATTCCGGCGCATCTATGGAAAGTTTACGCCTTCTCAGCACTGGGCAATAGCAATCCTTCACGAACTTGAATGATAGGAATGACCATAATCCTTTTGATCAGAAGACTTGTACTAATTCTCTGGAAGGAACCTGTTTTTCGTTATAACCCATAATCCTTCAGTTATGTTCCAATAGGAAGCGTCTAAATTAAATTGCTCATAGCAAAGGATGATCTAATTTGTAAGGAAGCATTAGAAATGGACAGTATGTTGATAGAGATTGCAAAAAAAAATATTATGTATACGATATGGTACTAATACTTATCTTCATTTGTTTGCAAACTGTCAGAAACAATTGCTCACCGAAGTAACCAAATTATCTTTGACTGACAGCATTGAAAACATGTATTGGCGGTGCTTTCTGACAGTTTGCAAACTGTCAGACTCTTGTGAGAACACACCTCTAGTTGCACATATAGAGCCGGTTAAATTTCATTAATGATTCTACTAATAATATGGTTTATTTATTTCAGATAACCGCATAGGAAATAGTCTAAGGAGAGGGCATTTATTTGCGACTCTTATATCCCCACCAATCACGAAGGTTGGGTGCTTCAGCTACTCTTATTGGTTGGTATTGGTGCGTCAGGTGCTGTAAGGTAAGTTGGTAAATTCAAGGATTTTTCTTCTTCGGATTGAATTTTAGAAAAATGGAAACATAGCATATTTTTCCCAGACTACTGCACCCTCGACTGCACCTTATCTGATTACCACAAGTCACAAAAAATTCAGGACCAATGATCTGGGCCGGTATTCTCGTTCTCGAAAACGCTCACCGCTTTTTAGTCGCTCGGCACCTCTGGTGAGCGTTTTCGAAAACCAGAATACCGGCCCTGATTGAAAGCCCTAAGTTTGAAATTGAACCAAAAAAAAAAAATATTAACACAATCAAAGATTTGAGTCTATAACTAATGTACCTACCAATTCGATTTGTCCTTTTGCATTTTTTTGGATCTTTTGTGCACTTAATGAAACTGAGTGAATAACCAAAACTTTTATAATTATAAGGCTGAAATTCTCCCAAGTCAATTACAAACTTAAACCTTCTTAGGGGTTTTTCACTTGCTTTCAGGTAGCACTGATAATGTCTCAAAGCGCTTTGCATTGAAAAGTTTAAAACAAACTTTGGACGAAATATGAAGTTTCTAAAGGTGTAGACAGCCAGTTTAATTTGAATAAAAAACAATAAGACACTAGATTTTCTTCACAAGAAACTCCTCTTGTTGGTCAGAAATCAATATTACATTACGAGTGTAGAAAGTGACCAATTTCCAACAAGAGTTTTTTCGCGCGAGGCGGTAGCTGAGTTTGTATTAATGACGCTTTCTCATAAGTAAAATACACAATTTATCATACGACCAGAAACTGACAAACCGATTTTTTCTTATTTTATTTCTCATTCGAGTGCTCGCTACCGTCGAAGCAACAGTCCTTCTCGGGATAGTTGCTAAGAGAAATTGTTTACCGTTTATTCAGTGACCAAGCACTCTACTAGTTTATGTTTTCCTACTGAAATTTTAAAAGGGTTCTCCAAAGGTGTTTTAAGTGAAGTAGTGCTCAATGTGAGAAGTTGCGAAGTTCATCATGGACCCACCACAAGCCAGTGAGTGGCAACAGAAGTTCATCCAGCAACTCAAAATTTTTCAAGAGAAAGTCCAAGGCCTCCGCCAAGAAAATGATACGCTAAAGCAAGATATCATCAGACTGCAAAACGACAACACCATCATCCGTCAAGAACTAGAAGCCACCCATAGCGAAAACCATAAGTTGAAAATCTCTGCCAGTGCTTTTAAAAACCAGGACGAGGTCAAAACCGCTGAAATCCAACGTCTCACCAAATTGGTGGACGACCATGCAATGGAAGTAGCCTTCGACGATGATTCAAATTGTGATAGCGATCATGACCACGACATCAGTGACATTGAGTCTGTCACGTCTGCTGCCTCCCAATAGAGGAAGAATTCGGCTGACAGTGATGGCGCACAGCCAAGAAGGAAGCTTCCAAAAAACAAACCAGAGCCCGCCTCAATGCCCGTGACCCCGTCGGTCATAGTCCGAAAGCCGGCCCAAGCCCCGACCGCCTCAATTTCGCCCCCCCCCCCCCCCCCAAGGGCCAACCAGAAAAGGCTTCCTAATGAAGCCACCAGCGCCAGTCCAAATCCCGGCTCCTCTTCCGCCAAGGGAAAGAATCCCTCCTATTGTGCTAAGAAATAGGCATAAATAAACGAAATCACTGCCCATTTCAAGGCGCAGAAAACCTCATTCGGTCCGGCTACAAACACCAGCAAGGGGATCAAGTTGCATCCCACATCTATAGAGGACTATAGACAGATGCAAGCCTTACTCGAGAAGAATGGAGAGCCGTTTCACTCTTTCTCTCTCCCATAGTAAAAAAAGTCACCACCGACCAAATAAGGCAGATTATTGCCGCCCTTGAGCGCAAAAAAGCCCCTGGATTGGATGGTATCCCAAACAAAGCTCTGAGGAAACTTGCTCAAAAACAAGTTGAAGATCTCACATGAATAATTCAAGCCATCTGGGCCACTTCCCCGACAGATGGAAAACGGCGAAGATTATCCTCATTAGAAAAAGCGGCGAACCTATCAACAACACCAAAAGCCACCGTCCCATCAGCCTGCTTCCTGTACTTGGGAAAGTCGCTAAAAGAGCCATAAAATGGGACCTCCAAGACACCGTTAACACACTAAATTCACTACCCAATGAACAAATGGGTTTCAGAAGCGGGAATTCGACAACAAATCAAGCCACTCGATTGACTCATATTCCAAGCGGTCAACAGAAATATGGAAACCGGGGCGGTATTTCTAGACATCGCCAAAGCCTTTGACAAAATGTGGCACCAGGGACTTTTGTTAAAGATGCTGCCACTGAACATGCCACATTACCAAGTTCGGCTTATACGCTCCTTTCTGACCGACAGAAAATTCAGGGTAACAATAATCAGCCACTCTTCGAACGTAACGCGATCAACCACCAGACCAGTTCTAGCCAGAGCTCACCACTCAGCCCACTTTTATTTAATCTGCTTATGGCGAACTCACTCACTTCACAGGAAACATCCCTACTTTCTTACGCCGACGACACAGCAATAATTTCTACCGCCAGGACCCGTCCCACGATAAGAGGTCATATACATATGGAACTCCTACCTGGTACGCCACAGCAGCACCTAATATTCGCCAACCATTAGCAAGTCTGGAAAGCCGAATAGTTCGAAACCGCCTCCTGAACGCACCATGGTACGTCAGAAACACAACTATTAGAAAAAAACACACAACTACAGGACCTAGACGACCATATCCAAGACTTATGTACAAACCACTTCACAGAGGTTTAAAACCTCCGCAAACCCCCTAATTAGGGAATCTCACATCGCAGCCCCCCCGGGATCAAGACACCCCCTCCCAGGGAACCAAATCTGAGGCAGCGATGACAAGTCTCCCACTTAAAGATCCGCCATGTAGGATCAGCACATTTCTATCAGGACTTGGGAATCCAGAAGATGCACTTTCATAAACATGGGAACATAAAATTTACAAAAAATTTTCGTAATAACTAAAATTTTACAATTTAGCCAGGACAAAAAAAAAAATATATTTCGTTCCATTTCCAACATAGGTGCTGAAAGTACTTTCAGCCCCACCTATTGAAAGTACTTTCGGCACGCGTGTGATAATTAGTGCTTTCCAAAGAACCAACTAGTGCGGATTTTGTCACATTCGTATGTGGTCGTAGGAAAATGTAATAGTCTACAATCATTTAAAAAAAATAATAATAAATGGAGACTATGGAGGGGGATATTATATAACCACTACATCAAAAATAGTAAGTGTTCGTAGCAGTTCCTAAAATGGTTTTTGAAACATCTAATATTCTGCTTCTTTCTATGGATGCAGAATTTTTCTCATGTTCTCCCCACATGAACATGAGATTTTATAGACTTCCGATCTTTCCAAAATATTTACCTTTTCTTCGCAGTTTGCGAATAAACCAGTCACAGTGTGTGTCTCAGTTCTTGAAATAAATCTTATATCCGACTTTGGCCAAAATACCCTGAATTCTATATGCATTTGCTTTATTTAGAGATACTTTGGTAACTCCTAAACTCTATCAGTGAGAGTAAATCACTCCTGAAATGTATTACCGCAAGTTTATCAATCAACCTTGCTAGTATTTATATGCAACATCAATATGTTCATTGTCGAAGCTTTTCCACTTGAAGTCAATTGGCGGGATCTCGTTGATGTAAATTGTAACCCCTTTTGTAAATGAATTAACTATGGGTCCATAATATGCTCAGCTTAGCTCAGTAAATTATTAGGTGTGGGTCAATTGTGTATACAGTCTGATTTGGACGCAACTGAATTTTATATATAAAAAAAATTTAATTTGTATTAGATGGAATATCAAAATGATAAAATTCAGAAAAACATTCTAAAAATAAAATTAAAGAATAAAGATAGGTTATTAAATTCTCTAGATGATAATCCTAAAAAAAAAAAATTAACATACCAAAATAACTCAACCAGCTCGGAACCCAGGTGATACTAAAACAAACAACTAAATAAAATTTTTAATCAAACAGTGTTTAATCAATTCTAAGTGATTCTGAAATCTACATTAATAAAAAATATTTACTCAATAAGAAAATATCAAACCAATAGCCATATTCTTGACAGATAAAGCCTAGACTTAAAAAAAAATTATTATTACCAAGTTAAGTATTTAACTGGAAACAGATACCATTTAGTTTATGAATCCTAAAAACACCTAAAACATGTTACAGTAGAGAGTAAAAAAATTATCATACAGGGTGGAAAATTAAAAAGGATCCACCTGGATTTTCTCGAAAATTATTAGGAAATTAAAAAAAACGCCGAAACACGTGGATTTTGTTTGCAAGGGGGTCACTTTTTGGCTATTTCAAAATTTTCCTTGATTGCACTTCCTTACCGGGGTGAGTTGCACCCTCAAAAATTGGATAGGGAAACTGGGTCGAGTGGTACCTTGTTTGAAAGGTATTTGAGATGACTTTACAGATCTGTAATTTATTTCGAAATCTGACTACTAGTTTTCAAGATATTCGCCTCGAAAGTTGCCATGGGGCGAAAAGAGAACGTGTTTTTCGTACATTTCTACAAGAAAAAATTGAAATTCCTGAAACACGTCAATTTTGTTTATTTTGAACCTTTGTTTCTTTGATAGTTTGTACCTTTTGAACAACCTTCCAAACATGACCCACTTTTTACTTTTTCATGAAAAACGCGTTCTCTTTTCGCCCCATGGCAACTTCCGAGGCGAATATCTTGAAAACTAGAAGTCAGATTTCGAAAAAAATTACAGATCTGTAAATTCATCTCAAATACCTCTCAAACAAGGTACCACTCGACCCAGTTTCCTCATTCAACTTTTGAGGGTGCAACTCACCCCGGTAAGGGGGTGCAATCTAGAAAAATTTTGAAATAGCCAAAAAGCCCTTGCAAACAAAATCGACGTGTTTCGGCGTTTTTTCAATTTCCTGATAATTTTCGAGAAAATCCAGGTGGATCCTTAATTTTCCACCCAAATTTCCATGGCCACCGTTTTACATGATAACTTACACATATTTCAGGGTTCTCAGGGGAACATCTACAATAAATGGCATTTAGAAATCAATTCAAGTAATAAAAATGAAATATTAAAAATGTAGGTAAATAGAAAAGAATAGAAATTACACTCACTTCATTGTCAAGAATGGGGCACTATAATTTTACAATCAAATTAAATTTCCAATAGGAATCTTTTAGTCTTCCATGTTTAGCTTATGCAAATATTATCATAATTTGAAATAGGTAAATAAGGGGAATGAATGAATGAATGAATCGTTGCCATTTCATGAGAACTTTTAATAGTATAACCTCCTCCCTAATGCTGTGCATATAACTGTTTAGATACAGCAACCATAACCTATCTCAACATGTGACGTCAGAAAATCGCTGACTGGTAGATCCCGAGCTTATACCATAAATGGCACAGCAAACACAGTCGTTGGTGCGTCTTGTGGCATAAACTATCTTGGAAAAATCTGTCATTTTCTTTTTACCGTTTCCAATCCTCATTTTTGGAAAACTCAAACTACGCCTATGAAAAAAAAAAACAATCACAAGTGCTAAGTGCTTTTGGTTTAAAGTGTCTGTATCAATATCAATTACTATTGATAACCCATGTAATAATGTTTGGATTTGTGAAAAAGCAGATAAATAATTTATAAATAAATAATACGTATAAATTATTAATATTACCTTTCTATTTTTATCAATCGTATAGGTTCTTCCGGAGTTGTGGTAGACAGTGAGTGTGGCGTCAGTTCGATCTGTGTTGCACATTTTTTAAGGACTAAATTGCCTATTTTTCTCATCATCTATGAAAATATAAGTCAGGTGAGCCTGAATATTTAATAATTATAGCAATAACTACTCATATACCTATATTTTTTCAAATCTAATTTAAGAAATAAAAAGGTTGATTGGTAAACGTGGTAGTCATTGTTGTGGCAGAATTCTTATAGGGTAGGTATAGTGGACTTTTATGAACTAAAAGGAATCTATGAGAAACAACACAAAATTAAAGTAAGTTAGGTAAGTAAACATAAAAAGTCACTGAACTTAATACAAACACACCTGTTTGTTTATTCTCTATATTTATATTATTTATTTGTAAATTGAAAATGAATCTCTACAGAAAATCTTGACTGGCGCCAAATCCTTTCGAGACGGTGCACAAGTATATTTGTAAATATTGTCACGGATTCCAGGTTTACTGAAACTCGATTTACAAACAGTAACTTTTATTAAACAAATTGACTTTATATAAAATTCGCTTATCATTTATCGAAACTTACACAACAAATTTCGAATTTAAACTAAACTACAACAACACTATTAAGCTGAACAAAATAAAGATTTAATTAAGACTAATTCAATACATACTACTATGGGTTATTTATATTCGCAACAGTAGATACTCCGGATTTATGTGTTCAAATGTAATGGAATTCCCAGAAAAGGCATGCTTCAAGACGTAAACAACTAATATCCTAGAATCCCTGTTGGGTTATCGATGCATTTCCGTAACAATATTGCAGTTCAAATTGCAGCATTTATTGGTGAAAGAAACGAAATAAAAGATTTATTTTTACGTTGGTATACTCTAATTATAGAAAATCCCTCTTGTACCAAATAAAACATATATTTCCAGGAAAGGCCTTGAATTCTTTACTATTAAAGCTAAGCCAGTTAAAAACTCTTTACACGTGCTCAAGAAGTTGGATTAGATTGATTATGTTCTGGTAAATCTTGCTTGGGAATTTTTTTCAAAGAGTTTTGGTCCAATTAATTTGAGGAAAACTTTATTATAGGTATACTAGGGATATGTATGTATTGTAGGTATAGTATATATTAATTTGAGATGACAAAAGTGATCTCTCGAAAATTAAACAGTTGGGAACCATAAATTGTTAAGGTACCTAAATCATCCTTCAAGTTCTGCAGGCACATGCGTATTAATCCCAACCTGTAACGGCTTCTTAACAGTTCAAAGATTTTCTAGCTTGATTCTTTTTATGAAAGTATTTATAATTTATAACAAGTCTAGTGAAACCTTATCAAGTCTAAAGTCTAATTGACTAGTGACTGGATGCAAGATTTGTTCTTTTATGCGAAATATACCAGAAAATGTCCTTATAATATTTCACCCTTCATAAATTTTCTTTCTCTTATTTGCAGTCGTCTGGAAAATGTCAGTGTATTTACTTACCTTCGTTTCCTTCATCAAATATTGAAAAGATTCATATTTGTTTTATTTTAGAGGCATTATATGGCTGCAAAACTGGTAACTTATAAAGATGTAGAGAAAATTTTACCTACAATGAAAATGCTGAGAGTCTTTATTTTTCAATCCGTGAAGACAGTTTTATAATAATAGCTAATATCAGTCTGAAAAAGTTTTCAAATTTTAAGTTCAATAAAACCAGCGAAATTTCTGCGGATATTAAAGAGGTAGCCTCCAGGACAATCACTGGATAATTGCCATTATAACCGTTGTTTTTGATATAAATTTTATGTTATTTTTTGTAAAAATTGTTGGAAAAAACGAGCCTGATAGGTCAAACCAGGACTTTTAATGCAGTTTTTATTTCACTTATATTCAGTACCTATGGTATGTCGTAGATAATAGTTATCTACCTGATACAATCATTATTATTTATTATTTCTATATTCATTCTGGGACATAGAATTTGGCTTTTACATCGTCGACTGCGAATGTGCTACTTTTTCGCCTAAATACTCAATAGGCATACCTACTATTAATTATTATTTAAAAAAATGTTATTATCAGTTGTACTCAAAAACCCTATTGCTGGGATGAAAAGATAGAAAAGGAAATTGAAGTAAAAAAACAAACCAATGGAAAATATCTTAGCACTCAAACAGAACACCACAAAGAATTATATAAACAATCACAAAGGAGAGTGTTCAGTTTCGTCTACGCGCCCTGTATATATTTCTAGGTTAAATTTGGTATTTAGGATGTCAAATCTTATTTGGGAATGGAAATTGATTCGTTTTTTTCTTTATTTTTGTTTTCTCTTATTCTAATTGAATTCTGCGTGCTCTATGCCTAAGAATTGATACGGCTTTGCTAAATTTGGTTTTTAAAAACACGCTCGTTAAACACTGAAAAAGGATACCGGCAAAGTCCTTACACTACAAACAAGTAAAATCAGTTGCCAAAAACACTTCGCCCGTTTCGTGTGGTTCGAGAAAATAGACCCGCGGTTATTCGTTAGCCGCGACCGGTTAAATCGAGACGGTTTCGTTGCACTTCTACGCATGAGACCTGAACTCCCTGAATGAGCTGGCCAGCTGTGTGGAGTTTGGAAGTAGAGCCAGGTAAGGTGAAAAAATATCCTTTTCAGTTTCGATATCTTTCAATTTCATTTTAAAATCTTTCTTACGTAATAATAAATCATTCTGTGAAATTTTGTGACAGCAAATATTGAAGCCAATGCCTCTTTCTCTATTTGACTGTATTTCTTTTCTGTTTCAGTAGGAGTTCTAGATGCGTGCCACAAAGGTTTGATAGTACCATTTTTAAATCTGTGTAAAATATAGGCTCCTATTCCTGAGATACTCGCGTCACCCGCTACAATGATTTCGTGAATTGGGTTGTAGTTGGTTAGACGTTAGACTTAGATCCAACTTCAAAAATTTTTAAATTTTTCAAACGCAAACGATTCTTGACATAAAAATTTGATTTTTTTTTAATAATTCGTTTAGTGGTTGACGTAACATGTGTATTTCTTTGATAAATTTACCATAATAACTTATTGCACCAACATAGGAACGTAGAGTGGTGAGATCATGAGGCGGTGGCATATTTCTGATAGCTTTAGTTTTTGCTGGATCTGGTTTCAACTCACCTTCACTTAAATATATCCCAAATACTTAATTTCTTTGACTGACTCTAAATTCACATTTTTGTAATTTTAGGTGGAAACCAAAAACCAAACTCTTCTATACGATTTAGGACAAGATTTAAATTTTTTTCTTGGAACCTTTGAAGTTCTTGGTCAACTTTATCCATGACTGAATAAGCTACTTGTCGTTTTGCTTTGAAAATAGGAACTGCATCATCTTTTATATGAAGATTAACTCTGTTTTTTTTTTACAGTGACCTAATGTTTCTTGAAAAACTAAAAACTTAAGGAAAGGCTAATTTTAATGATTCCGGATTGATTGAAAATTGTTTGATTTAACAACATCGCAGACTGAATTGAATGGTACGTTCCATAAACCAAATTTTGTGATCCAACCTATACCCAGTAAATTGAGATCAGCTATTGAAATGAAATGATAAAACATTTACCTTGAAAACTATTTTGTTTGAAGCTAATTGTACATTGAAATGCTGATTTTAAATTAATTTTATCACCTGAAGCGCTTTTGGCATCATGATTTGCGGACTGACACTCTGGTTTTTCTATTTTTGTCCATGTTTCTTGTGAGATAACCGTGATATCTGAAGCTGTATCAATTTGTAACTTGATCGGAATAATATTGATTTTGGCTTGAAGAAATTTTCTTTTAGAAGTTTGCTCGAAACCTGAATTTGGCAAATGTTTATTTCTGTTCGAAATGGCATTTACATTGAGAGACGAATCTTCAATCATTTGGGCGTCCATCTTTATATTTTCGATCATCTGACATTCAGAAATTTAAATTTTTAATGTATGTTGATCATTGCTATTATAATCAAATTTGTTTAAAATTCTGGTTTGTATTTGGATGATTATATAAGAAAAAGGAACCAACCGCCAAATGGCTAAAAATGAGATTATACGTTAAACACATTATGATAAAGGGATCCAATCCCCTCGCCAATTTTTTCAAGGATACAATAAACCTAGCGACATCAACTGACTGAAATTTGTGTTTCGAAAATATTATTTCTCCTATATTTGTTTTCGAATAAAGAACCACAATGTAGTAGCGCTGCACCTGTGTCTTCTGTACAAAATCCCTGCCTTAAAATGTCGAGAGGACTAAAAATGTTAAAACTAGTATTAGTATTAGAGGAACAAAAACAGCAGTGGCGGCTCGTCCAAAAATTTTTGAGGTTCTGCCCTGGCATATTCGTTTGGGATATGATAGGGTGACGACCACCGCAGGCGGACATTTTTTTCGGTTACCACGGCCACGCCCAAAAAGGTTCATTTTAAATCTTCAAAAAAAATATTGTTTCTATAACCATCAAAAAATATACAACTTTCGTCATATTTTACCAGCCGAAAATGTCATTTTCGTTACTAGTGACAGAATATATCCCATAACGTTAACTTTCGTCACTAGTAAATGATTGGGATTTTACATGATAAATACATTCTTTCAATACAATTATAATTTAATTCTGTGAAACACAATGAAAAAACACATATGTAGTTCATAACAAAATTATCTAAATTTTGCTTTATATAATGTAGTAGAACTATAATAAAAGCAAAATATAGATATGAAATTATTGCAAAACCGAGAACTTTTGATAGATGGCGCCTTGATACATTCACATTTTAGAGCGCCATCTATCAAACCAAGTAGGAACCCTTGTGAGAAAAACACTAGTTGAACAGCAAAAACCAAAACATGATCATTGAAAAAGTAGTGTTTTACTCGTCGAAAATAATTTATTTCAACTTGAAAACATTATCAAACTCGGCTTCGCATCGTTTGGTAAACTATTTTCTTGTTTCAAAAAATGCTGTTTCGTCACTCGTTAAACAATATACTATATTGTAACTGTTGAATAAAAAAACTCTTGATTTGTTCAATCGCTTAATAATTGACAAGTCCTTTTTATCTGGGCTACACAAAAATGTCAAGGTTTTTTTTTTAATTAACAAACAACAATAAAACCTTTACTAAACCATTAAGTTTATATTTTGTTTGTTAATTTTAATAAAATCCCTAGATAAACTAAATGAAGAAACCTGTAGAATAAACTAAAAGAAAAAAAAGATCCGATCGTATTTTTTTCAAAAAAAGATAATTAGAAAAACAACGCACACAACAAATATGACCGACAGTTTCAACAGCACCCTTTTCCACTTGTCCGTCTTCTCGCAAAAACAATAAAATTGCATGAAATACGCGGACATGCGACCCAAGTGGGATTAGGAGCTGGAAATCTTGCAGCACAATTTCCGCCTAAATTTCGCTATCTAAACCCAGGACCAAGTGCGGCGCGGGGCGATGGGAAGGGTACACAGGCGAGCACAGAACTCGAAAGTGGCCTAGCTATGTTATGTTGTACGCGAAACCCGTATTATTAACTTGCCATGGTTGGCCGACTGTAGCGTTCGGAGGTGCCCGTCTCGCTCAAAGATGAAAAATATTCCAGGC